TCTTAACTTAAAATCAGTGTAAATTTGGGCAAATGCTATTTTGATAATAGGAAATACTTCCTGGTAGCAGATCTTGGATGTATTCTACCAAAATAAAAGGTAAATAAGCGAAGGCTACTTCAACAGGTTCTGACCACAGGAAAGAGTGTTTTATACCTCATTTCATCAGTTTTGCTACTTCCTTCCTTAGCTCCTCACCTCCGTCGTTGGTATGTCATGTATCCTCTAAATGCACTCATACCAGACATTATGGCAATTTGATATTCAGTGTGTTCTTCTAATAATTCTTGAAACCCAAGTTTCAGAGCTTGGAATCCTTTGACGCCCAGGAGATAATTTTGAGTAGAGGCTCCACACGGATGTCTTCTTTATCGGCGGCTTATGTTGACGCTCTTCTCGATCGCTGGTAACAGAGTATCTTTGCCGCTGGGAAAGACCCTTATGTTAAGGTTGCCATTATTTTCTGCTCCGTCCTGATAGGAAACAGCAGGTTTCGGATACTTAGGGCATCCGCAGTAGCTTGCAGGGTGTCCAGCCTGGCCACAATTTGAGTATCTGGCGTTCCACCCTTCCAGGTGTTGAATTTTATACCGCATTTGACGCACTTCTCATAGCAATCAAAATGGAGACTGAGAAGTGCCCAAACTCTCTTAGCGTGAAGTGAATTTGGGAGAATGCTGTTTTGATAATAGGCTTCTACTTTTGAGTTATTGCTGCATTCTCCATGCATCTATTCCTGGTATCAGCGAGGGTAGAGTGGTCCCAAGTCTTACGCTGTGCTGATCCAAACTAATCCTTTTTATATCCAATCTTCAAATTCTGTATTCTCTACAGGGTGCCACCTGGTCGTTTCCTCGTTGGTCTGACGGAAGACCATTTCTGGTGTGCTCCTACAAATATTTGTTCCAATTGTCGAATGGTGCTGAATTATTCTCCGATTTAACTAGATACTTTTTTGAATTATTTATATTCGTTAGTAGTCTGCGACTGATACGTCCACAGGGTTGTTCCATTCCGCTTGTCTTGTTTCCGCGTGATCCATTAGTCTTGCTGATGTTGAAGTTACAAGCTGAAGTTTTGCTGTTCAAGAATAATCGTTTACCAATGGCAATCAATTCCATCGTTTGATTAGGACGTTGACTTTCATCATTAACAGCTTTAGCAATTCCAGCAGTCCCTCCACTTAGCGCGCCAATACCACTTAGCCCTGCGAATATTGGTATTATTGTTAGTATGCCAAAATGGTGATGGTGAAAATTATTCCTTTTAGCAGGATCTTCTACCAAATAAGATCCCTGGGAGTTAAGTAAGTCGACGCTGCTGTGCTAATCCAAACTAATCCTTTTCAAATATTCAAAATCCGTATTCGCTACAGGGTCTTCTGTTTCCAGTGACCATGGGCTTATTTTCTCTAGAAAGTGCGCCATCTGGTTGTCACCTCGTTGGTCTGACGACAGAGCGTTTTTGGCGTGCTCGTACAAATATTTGTTCCAGTTGTCCAACGTTGTGAATCACTTAAATTACTATTTTGTCATTACATCTACTTCTTGAAATGTTCTGGCTCTCGCTATCTTATTCTGATGGCGAGTCGTGCTGAATCATTATCCGAATCAAGTAGGTACCTTTTTCAGTTATTTATATTCGTTAGTCGTCTGCGACTAATACGTCCACAGGGTTTTTCCAGTCCGATCGTCTTGTTTCCGCGTGATACGTTAGTATTCCTGATGTTGAAGTTGCAAACTGAAGTTTTGCTGTTCAAGAATAATGGTTTACCAATGGCAATCAATTCCATCGTTTGATTATGACGTTGATTTTCACCATTAACAGCTTTTGCAATTCCAGCTGCCCCTCCACTTATCGCGCAAAAATCACTTAGCCCTGCGAATATTGGTATTATTGGTAGAATGCCAAAATGATGATGGTGGAAATTATTCCATGTAGCAGGATCTTCTTCCAAAATAAGATCTCTGGGAGTTAAGTAAACCGACGCTTCTTCAACAGTAAGGTAGAGCAGAGCGTCTATATCTCACATTTTTTATTACTTACTAGGAAGGAGTGTTTTATATTTATAGTATTTTTAATACCTATTTGGAAGTACCTGTCGTTTTAGTGACAAAATATATGTCGCTTCTTGACACACAAATAAAATTAGGTTAAGAATTTCCTGTTTGTAGATGAAATTGACGTATCAGCAATCGACGTTCGTTTTTGTTGGTAATTTTTTGTTTCATCTGATTCGTGATTGATAAATAAGGATGGGGTTATTCTAAATGGGTATTACAAATACTATATATTGTCGTATCTACGATAATAGGGCATCTCCCTTCGGTAAATTAAACTCATTCATCTTCCAAAAAAGTTCATGGATTACAGGAAGATCATCGGTCACGTTACATGTAAATAATATTGCAAGTTGAACGAATTATTAAATTATTAATTTGTACGGACATGGAACTAAAACCCATAGAAGGTCAATGCCGACGCCAGGTCATCGGCAGTTATTCTTATTAGAAATCACGTATCATGGTTGCTCGACTAGCATAAAATAAGGTGGTTTTGGGGGATGAATGGTCAGTCTACAGATGGAGAATTATCCACGTTAGTTAGTCAGTAGTAATAGTGCCTTTTAGTCTTGTGACAATTATTACTGCCCATGCCCATATCTGAAATGTAATTATGGTAAGCTTTATTGTAAATACACTTTCCTATTTTTGTACTTGGCTCTAGTTTTGATTCTCACCTCCTCATAATCCCCAGGTCCGACAATATCTCGTTTCACCAGTTGTGCTACTTCGTTTCTAAGCTACTGGCTGTCGTCGTCGGTATCTCCTGTATCCTCTAAATGCAGTCATATCAGTCATTATGGCAGTATGATGTCCAGGCTAAGTTTCAGAACTCGGAATCCCTTAACGCTCAATTAGATAATTTCGAATGGATGCTCCACATGGATGTCTTCCCTATCGGCGACTGCTGTAGACGATCTTCGCGATCGCTGGTAACAGAGCTTCTTCGCTGCTGGGAAGGACCCTCATGTTAAGGTTGCCATTCTTTCCTGCTCTGACCTGAAGGAAGGCAGCAAGCTTCGGATACTTGGGGTATCCGCAGTAGCTTGCAGGGTGTCCAGCCTGGCCAAAATTTGAGTATCTTTCGTTCCACCCTTCCAGGTGTTGAATTTTCTACCGCATTTGACGCACTTCTTATAGCAATCAAAATGGAGATTGCCCAAACTATCTTAGCTTGCATTTTCCATGTAGATTCCTGGTATCGAGGGTAGGGTAGTCTCAAATCTTGCGTTGTACTAATACAAACTAATCCTTTTTGAATCTTCAAAATACGTATTCTCTACAGGGTCTTCTGTTTCCAGTGACCATGGGCTTCTTTTCTCTGGAAAGTGCCCTATGTGATTGTCACCTCGTTGATCTGAAGGAGGAGTGTTTTTGGTGTGCTCGTACAAATATTTGTTCCAGTTGTCCAACGTTGTGAATCACTCAAATTACTATTTTAATATCTTATTCTAAAATTGTTGTCGCTCTCGCTATTTTGTTCCAATGGCGAGTAGTCCTGAATTATTATCCGAATTAAGTACCTTCTTCAGTTCTTTATATTTGTTAGTCATCTGCTACTAATACGTCCACAGATCGTGTTGCAGTCCGGTCTTCTTGTTTCCGCGTAATCCGTTATTCTTTCTACTGTTGAAGTTGCAGGCTGAAGTTTTGCTGTTCGAAAATAATCCTTTAGCCATGGCAGGGGTTCCATCGTTTAATTATGACGTTGATTTTCTTTCAACTGTTGATTAGCTGACTTAGCATCAATAACAGCTTTAGCAATCCCAGCAGCCCCTCCACTTAGCGCGCCCAAAGCACTTAGCCCAGCGAATATTTGTATTATTGGTAGATGATGGTGAAAATTCTTCCTTGCAGCAGATTTTGAATGTCTTCTACCAAAATAAGATCTCTGGGAAGCGAGAGGACCAAAGCTACTTCGACAGCTAGGTACAGCGTCTATATCTCACATTTTTTATTGGTTCTTAGGAAAGGGTGTGGGTTGTTTTATACCTTATCTCACCTTGTGCTACTTCCTCCCTAAGCTACACGCCTCCATCGTCGGTATGTCCTGTATCTTCTAAATGCAGTCAAACCAGTCATTCTGGCAATATTGTGTCCATGCTGCTTCAGAACTCGGAATCCTTTAACGCTCCAGGAGATCCTTTCGAGTGGATACTCCACATGGATGTTTTCTTTATCGGCGACTGCTATTGACGATGTTCTCGATCAACAGAGTTTCTTTGCTGCTGTTAATGTTGCTCTTCTTTTCAGCTCTTACCTGAAGGAAAGCAGCAGGCTTCGAATACTTGGGGCATCCAGAGTAGCTTGTGCCGGGTGTCTAGCATAGCAGCAATTTGAGTATCTGCCCTTCCAGGTGTTGAAACAGTCTTTCCTACCGCATTTGACACACTTGTCAGGGCAGTTAAATTGGAACTTTTTTATCTTTAAATCAACATAAGTTTGAGAGTACGATGTTTTGATAATAGGCTTCTACTCTTGTTTTATACCTCAAAGCAGCACTTAATGATTGACATATTGTATGCATAATTGAGTCAAACTAATAGGATGGAAAATAAGTGAACCTATCCATAGTTCTTCTTCATTCTTGAAATATTTCCCGTAATTGCTGTTGCAACGCTTTAACAAGGTCAGCGAGATGAATAGCCAGAAAACACATCAAAATTTATTTCATAGTGGAATAAAATCACTATAAAGTTATTCACAATTTTACAATTAATAATCCGCAAAATATCAAGCTTAACATCAAGCAAAACATCGTCACTCGTCGAATGATTCAGCTTGCTTTCGTTATCGGAGGAGACATCAGGGACCCTTGTGGCCGCTCTCTAAATAACAGTAACGCCACATCGTACAAGGTTGATAGTGAAACCTTAGTGCAAAACATACCATAACAAAGCAATATACCTAAATATTACTGAATTACATTTTTAACTTAGGTCCCAGAAAGAATTCGAGCCATGAACTCTAGCATTAAACTTCTCTTGATTGTCCGTGAACCAGTTACTAGAGCGATATCAGACTACACTCAGCTACGTGCAAATGCAGCTACATCTTCGCCAACAGCTTTACCTACAGCTTCTACAAAATCATTTGAGCAGCTCGTCTTGCATCCCAATGGGTCTGTTAATGAAGCCTACCGACCATTGGCTATATCTTTGTATCATAATTTTTTGCATAGATGGTTGGAGGTAAGTAATTTTATGCATTAATTTAATTCCTTTTCTGTTTATTTATTTCCTAAAGGTGTTTCCTAGAGAACAATTGCTGGTAGTCAATGGTGATATGCTAATAGAAGACCCATTACCTCAGCTTCAAAAAATCGAACGGTTTCTAGGGCTGGAACCACGTATAGGAAGTCATAATTTCTATTTCAATGAAACCAAAGGTTTTTATTGTTTGAGAAATGAGACTTCGGATAGATGTTTAAGGGAGACCAAAGGTAGGAGACATCCCAGAGTGGATCCGCATGTAGTGTCAAAATTAAGAAGCTATTTTGAGGAACATAATCAAAAATTTTATGAGCTTATTGGAGAGGATTTGGGATGGCCAGAGGATTAACATTTAGTCTTTGTTTTGACAAATTATTTTTGCTTTGTTGAGGAATAGTTTTGAGGTGTATTTTAGTGCTTGAAGGAAGATTATTACAAAAACGAATTCCTTATTGTAATATAATTAGTATGAGTTGCTATTTTACAAAAACCTACATCTTGCCTTCAAGCATTTACTTTTTGCTCAAATTATTATTAAGTTGAAGAGTTGAGCTTATTTTTCGACAGCAGCCAATTCTTTTTGAAATTTTTTAAAAAGGGACACAAAAGTCGTATTATAGCTGTGAACTATATAATGAAAAAAGGTATAGGGCAAGCTTCTTGCTTGTTAGTCGACAAAAAATTTACTGTGAAGTAACTTACACATATCAATAAATAAACATATCATATTGTTCGTTAATTTTAAAAATAGGTATAAAGTTTATATTTAATCTAAATAATGCTTTGTTTTAAGGAAATTAAAGAGCAAATAACTTGTCCATATTTACGAGATTGAGTATTGTGATTATAATGGATTTTTTTGAAACAAAGCATATGAATTATTACGATACAAGGTTTGTGAAAATGAATTCTGCTGTTATTGACAAATAAAACTGGAATGGTCTACAAAATTTGGAGACTATCTACGACAGTCAGCGGTTTGATTAATTTATATCCACACACAGATGTATTTTCAAGTTTACTAATAGAATGTAGTGAAAAAGGCTACATACAACTTTTTCGTAAGGGCAAAAAGTTGCACCTCCGTCAAATGTTATGACTATTATTTGGGCTAGTTTTTTACATGGAACAGTGTGCAAAGTTTCCATAAGTGAACCACCTATTTGACTATCGCAGATAAATCGCAGTTGTACTTTCCCAATTTTGCAGAATTGATTTTGTGAAACCTCGTACCGTAAATTGTTGAGGACAAAGAAATAATAAATTTTAGTTGAATATGTTATAAAACACAATTAATATATTATTTCTCTAGCTTTATAGGATCATCAAAAATGTGGACCGAGCTTTTCGATTTGATCACATTGATCAGTGCCTTATTGCGCGTTTTAGGGATCCACATTGGAATTCAGTAGAAGCACTAATAAAAAAAAAAATGGTTTGAAACAGAAAAATCGATTGAGACAAAGGCTATTTGGAAAGTTTATTACTTCTCCTAGATTTTTGTTTGTAAAGAAATAAGGCAAACTTTTGCGACATTGGATACTTAGAATAATAAAGTTGCCTCGAGAATATCTTGTAATATAAGATGCAAAGCCATTGATTTTCGTATAACTTTTTTGAGAAGCATTAAATTTTCTCAAGAAGTTTAAAGTATCTACTTTCATAGTGTCGATTTTCCTTTTTCATATCCCTACCTATACTTACTTTATCAAGTCTTGCCGCATAAAAATAATAAAACTATTTTATATTTTGATCATAAACCTAAAGCCTTAGACGTATCATAAAATAACGATTTTTTGATCAGGCTATTTATTTATAGCATTGAACAAAATGGTTGATTTAATTTACATAAATGAATTTACAAGTTTACAAAAATAATAGGAAATTATAAATTAATATTTTAGTTATAGGTAAGTTCATAATTATCTCAATGTTATCAGAATAATTGAGATAACAGACATTTGGGTTGGCGAATTCTTTTAGACAAAATTTAATGGCTACCTGGTATATAAATATCAGTGTATCATACCGACCAGAATTATGTAAAAGGCTTAAAACCTTTATCATGCTAAATATTATTAAATTAAAAAGTTTTTAAATCTTTGTTCTTGGAGCTGTAAATGAAACGAGATATCTTGATATTTCATATATAAGTACCTATAAAGTTTTACATTTTAAACTTCAATAAAACAGGACAAGCGACTCGAGGAATACTTCACAGACAAAAATATTGCTTATCTTATTTTATGTCTTATTTTTTTTTTTTTGTTTCTTTCAACACTTTTCTTGTTTTTTATTGCACATGGTTGTCAAGTCATCACTGGAGTGTTTTACACGAGTTTTTATGTAGAAATTTATTACAAAGGATAAATGAAATCAAATTAGCGGTTGAGTTATAAACAAATTCCTATAATAGTCGAACTGCTAAGTTCAATAATTCATAAGAATCGTTCAAATTGTGATACTAAGATGAAAGGACTCCGCACAAATCTTATGGAAAATGGCTTTCTGTCAAATTGGCTGAATTTTTGAAATTGGGTAGATTTCGATATTCTGATTACAAGTTATCATTGCGCAAAACTGATTACGCGTACAGCTTTTGAGTAAATGGGCTTCAAAGGAAATTGAAATGCATGTAGCTTAATAGGTAGGTGCTCAACAGGTGGTGTTAGCTCAACGCTATCAATCGATACTAAAATAGCCAAACTGGGGAAACAAAAAAAATAATGTACCTCGGCTGAAATATGAACCACTGATCCTAGACTTCAACATCGCTATTCCACAGTTTAGCTATTTCAGTATCGATTTATAGCGTTGAGCACCTACCTATTAAGTTACATGCGTTTCCAATAGCATCTTTTGAGCCCATTTACTCAAAAACTGTACATGGAATCATTTTTGCGCAATGGTAACTTTTAATCAGAATATCGACCCAGTTTCGAAAATTCAGCCAATTTGACAGAAAGCAATTTTCCATAAGGTTTGCGCGGGGTCCTTTGCTAAATAGGTACCTAGGAAGGTACTAAAAATAGTAGGATGTAGTGCCAATAAAAAAATAACTAGAATGGCAGTTGTGACCTGCTTGAGTCATAAAATATCTATTTATTTCTTTTATAACATAAACTTTTACACTTTTTCATACAGTGTTCACATAAAGAATTGCTAAAACTAAAAGACATGAGACATGAAAATATAAATAATTACACAGTGTGTTCCAAAATGTAAGTCTTCTATTTCTCGAAAGCCAAAGTGGTTCCGAAAAATCTGACATATGCGACTATAAAACGTATCATGAGTAGTATTTTTGGTAATTGTCAATTTTGAAACAAAAATTATAGTAACTCAAAGATTCTTTTCTGTACTGCATATCTCAGAGTTCTCGAAATCTTTGGGACTTTCATTTATTGGTATGGAAATGGGACATCTAGTCCATGTACTAAGTGTACCTACTTCCACTGCCAAGTAATCTAGTGAACCAAAAGAACTAATAATATTGATTTTAGTTTGAAATACTATTCACTGTCCGTTCCATAACCGTCGCCATCACATAAACACAATATTGTGCACTTTAACTCGGCGGTAGCACATGAACACATTTGGCTGCAGGCTACTTCACATTTACAAGAAAGAGGTTCTTGACACGCTACCAAAGCTTCTGGCAAAGTATTGATAAACACCTTCATTTAATTTCCACTCTCATTGGATCAGGAATATCCGGACTTGAGGTCAAACTTTGTCCCCAAAGAAAGACACCTTGCAAGTCAGCTCTTCTAACGTGTTGCACAAGCGATTCTGTTGTTGGTCGAAGCGACTGGAGCGGCCTTTGTTTTTTCGTTAACAAATATTTCTGCGCTTCATTAATATCGCAGATAGGGGTAGCTTTATCGTAGAGCAGAATGACAAATCTTCCGATACATTTCAATGCTCTAGAATCCACCGTCAATTCGTTTAATATATCTAGCACAGCCTCTGTCAGATCATCGAATTTTGTCCATATTGCCTAAGCTGTTTTTAAAGTGGTGTCGCATCCAGTTAGTGCATGAAACATTGGTAGACATACTGACTTTCGTGGTCCCAGTCCCTCGGCAATTTCATATGCAGGTATGAAAGAAAAGTTCTTGCCAGTGCCAAATGTTATTCATAAATACTAGACTTTATTTCATGATAAAAGCCTACTGGCAACACTGAAATATCAGTGTCAACTGATATAACAGATTCGTGACCTTCCTGAACGGCATGGAACGCATGGAGTAAAATTCTCGTGGGAACAGGGAGAAATTAACTTTAGATATCGGCTACTAGCAGTGGAATACGCCAAGTTTCCAGAAGTAACAATAATTTCTTTTTCGGTATCAGTCGTTGGTATTTTTGAATTAATATATGAGAACAATTCTTCCTTATTTTTATCGTGCCTCAAGAAGGCTTTCACTGAGATGGAACAGGTGTTGAAGGGGTTACAACATATCTTATCCGAGATCCTCATGCTTGTCGGGTCTGTTTAAGACTGTTAGGTTTGTATACATCCCAAATAATATCAAGTCTCTGAGTATTTTGAAGTTGTTCGAGAATGTAGGGGAAAAAAACATTTTTATAATAATCTTGGGAGGTACGACATTTGGAAACTTTCAACATTTGGAAGATGACAGGACCATCAAAATCGAGGTAGTAGAAATTGGTGATTCTGTTGTACACGCGATATAGTTTCTGTTAAGCAAGCAACTAAGTCTGATTTAACACCGTGTCTCATATAACCATTGTCAGAAAGTGATGGGGGATATAGTTGGATTTCATGACTGAAAAATGATTCTAAGTCGCCGCTCCTGTTTTGGCAAGCGAGATAAAGCCTACCGAACAAGTGTACGTCATTTTTGAGCGATTTTTCACCATCAGAAGTTCTAAAAACTTTTGGAGGTTTGAAGTCAAACATAGGAAATTTATTTTTTTCTATTACGTCAGATACGCTGAGACTGGATAATTAACCGATCTTCCATAAATTGCCTATACTTTTTATGTTTGATAATGTTTTACCTACAAATTCCGAAATTGCTAACATTTTTGATACTGGTGAAACAGTTCGCAAGATTCATGACTAAAAGGGTTGCCAAGCTCGGAAAGTACACAAGATGATTCAAGATGATCGATTATATTAGTGTTTCCCAAATCTTTGTTACCAAATTCATTTAGAACTCTAGCAAGCTCCGGCCCTCCAAGCATCCAACGTCTCAAAGGGTTTGGGTTTTCAGTTTATCCTATAGCGCCGCCGTCACATTTTACGATCTTATTTTTTTGTTCGTGAGCTTGGTCTATTGGTATTGCAGAAAATTTTCTTAGTCCTTTTTGTACCGTGAAACCTCCTATTTTGAAAAACGTTGCTACTTCTGGATTTGTTTCATTCAACAGTTTCATATCTCGGATATGGAAGCTCACCCATTTGGCCTAATTTATTCTATCAATAGCAAAGAACCATGGTGTAGATAGTTCGAGAGTTTTGATGTACAATGATATGTTTTGCTCTCTAATCGAACGCACGAAGGATAACATTTGGAGCTCTAGATCTGAAACAATTGACCAGTATTTAAACTGAGGAGATTTATCTTATCTATCATTTCCAAAAACTATTTTTCCTCATCAAAAGTGGTTGTAGGATTGTCTTTCTTATAGGAAACGTATGCATCATTTTCTAATATGTACATTGCAGCTGAAGTCACTTCATGGGCGTATCTGCTCTTTTTTACGCTAGTTGCTTTCGGGAATGATTCGGCTGTGCCTGATGATGTTACATTTGCTCTCACTAAAACATCTACCCAGCCGCTACCTTGTAACCATTGACCCAAAAATTTTAACACGGCCATTTCGATATGTAGACCACCCATCATAACTACTATTTTTCGTTCTCCGTATTTGTTTGGAAACTTCCACTGAAGTTCTTTGGCTATCGCGAACAAAGGCTGATCAAATATAATAACTGGATTTTGACCTGGTTACAGCCGATATTAT